TAAATGAAATTTCGGGGGAAAAAATAAATGATACCTGTGAGAATCAGATATAAATAATAACTTCCATTTAATTGAAAATTATGTTGACTCTTTGAGTTTCCCCTCTGAGACCAAGCTCCCAACTTTGATGTATTTCGTATTGAATTTAATGAATCCCATAACAAAGTGGTCATGAGAAAAGAGAATTTGATTCTGAAGTCGAGTTGCTTGATTAAAAAGCTCTCATTCATTTTGGAGATGGAAGCATCAAGTACTAAACATTTTTGTTCTGTCTTCTCTTTTCCTTGGCTAGGCTAAAGTGAACAACTCCAGCCTCATAGGCTTAGGATACACTCAGACCCTAAAGCCAGGTATGATGTGCTCGTTGTGTGTGAAATTTGTTTTTTGTCTTAAAAAAAGTTGTGCTGCTTTCCTGCTTTGTGTTATTGCTTTTAAAATGCCTATTAGTACATTGTAAATGAATGTCTATAAAGTTTTATAATGGAATGTTTATAAAGGATCATAGAATCATTATAAAACATTTGGAGAATAGGAGAAGTAGTAAGTAGGAGAGAAAAAGACCAAGACTAACACTGTTATAATTTTGTTTATTTTCTTCCAACCTTTTTTTCCCCCCCAGTGTACATAATGCTTGAAACTAATTTCCAACAGGTTCTTTAAATTAGCCCATAAGTCATTCCAAAGGCAAAACTGGTTTGCGGGCTTCCCCCACACAGTTGGCTAGGCTAGTCCCTGTAGGTTAGAGCCATAGGAGATTATGTCACTTTGGGGTCATTTTGGACAAGTTGGGCCTTTGAACCCTGAAAATCTAAGATTACATGATGTCAGAGATTAATTGTAGCAGGGGACATTGAGGGGAAAAAGGAAAGTAGAGTCCATAGAGTAGAATCAAGCTATTCTAGGGGAAATATCAGTTAGGTGTGTACTTGTGTTTGTGTGTGTGTGTATGTGAGTGTAAGACCTTGGCGTCTGATTCATAATTGGGGTTTCACTTCAAGGTGCCATTGCTGAAGGAGCTAGCTGCATGGTGTCAAGGGTAGAGAGATTAATTGTAGCAGGGGACAATGAGGGGAAAAAGGAAAGTAGAGTCCATAGAGTAGATGTGAGTAGGCTGTGGAATAATACGGATTGTTCATGAGCTTGTTCTAGGTTACCTATTAGTCAGATGGTGTTTATGGGTTCTGAGTTCGATGTGGTTTTGCCAGTGTGCTCCAGCGTCCCTCCTTGTGTCAACTTTTCTTCCCACTTTATGTGTTAACCTTTCTTCTCTTTTCTTTCCTCCACCCCTCCCCCTTTCCTCTTCCTGATTTTCCCCATGGAAGGTATCAAACTGACACTGTCAGCTCTGCTGGATGGCAAGAATGTCAACGCTGGTGGCCACAAGCTTGGTCTAGGACTGGAATTTCAAGCATAAACGAATACTGTACAATCGTTTAATTTTAAACTATTTTGCAGCATAGCTACCTTCAGAATTTAGTGTACCTTTTAATGTTGTATGTCTGGGATGCAAGTGTTGCTAAATATCATGTTAGACCTCTGGGTTAAAGATGATTCAGCTTTAAGGTGTTACCCTTTCAGAGGTACAGAAGAAACCCAATTCCAAAAAGGTCCTCTCAGCTGTAGACTTGGGGGGAACTTGGCAGCCCCTCTAGACATGTCAGGTTTCTTTTTTATCTAGAAATGGCTGCAAGTGGAAGCTGATGATTTGTAAGCACTTTGTAAATTTGTATTGCTTAAATGAATGAAATTGTGACTCCCTGAAATTGAACCTTGATTTCCTACCCTATTCGAGAGAGGCTCACTGTTTGATGGTGTGTACAAACTCATCTGAAGGGACTTTTTTAGACAGAGCTTCATGACCTGTTTCCACCCCAGTCTGTCACCTCTTTTACACCAAAAGTAGTCTGCAGGGCGTGGTAGTTGTTTCTTTTGTGCCATTTTGGGGTGGAGAAGGTGGATGTGATGAAGCCAATAATTCAGGACTTAATTCCCTCTCATGTTGTGGTGTTTTGCCCTTGCACCAGAGTATGAAATAGCTTCTAAGAGCCCCAGCTGCAAGCTGGGAAGAGTCTCTGTGACTGTAATCACATGGTGACAACACTCAGAACCTAAATTAGACTTCTGTTGTATTCTCGCCACTCAGTTTATTTTTTAGCAGTTTAATGGGTACATTTTAGAGTCTTCCATTTTGTGTGGAATTAGATCCTCCCTTTCAAATGCTGTAATTAACATCACTTAAAATAAAACTTGAATAAAATATTGAAACTTCATCCTTCTGTCGTCTTTATTAATAAAAGTGTAAATAAACAGCTTTTTTTGGTCTTATTCTTTTGCCCCTTGCTCTGTGTGTGTGTGTGTGTGAGATATTTTTAGTTTTCTATTGCTTCATAACAAATCACTACAAATTTAATGGGTTAAAACAACTCATTTATTTATTTCACTGGTCCATAGGTCAGAAGTCCAAGTATAGTGTGGCTGGCTCCCTGTTAAGGTTCTCATAATGCTGAAATTAGGATGTCAGCCAGACGGTGTTCTCATCCAGAGCTTGAGGTCCTCTTCCAGGGTCACAGGGTTACGGCAGAATTAAGTTCCTTCAGTTGTAGGACAGTGATCCCTATGTCCTTGCTGGCCATCAGCCAGGGGCCACTCTCAGCAAATGGAGCCACCTACATTCCTTGCTGTGTGATCCCCTCCATCTTCAAAGCTGAAACAGAAAAACTCTCACTGTCAAATCCCTCTCGTACTTCAAATCTCCAGGAAGAGCTCCTGGAGATTTTTTTATTTTCAAATATTTTCTTTTTTCTTTTTATTGAGATTACTGACATAGAACATACTAGTTGCATGTGTACAATATGATGATTTCATATTTGTGTACACTGAGTCAGTCACAATAAATCTAGTTAACATTTATCACCAGTTACAATTTTTTTCTTGTGATAACTTTTACGATCTATTCCCTTAGCAACTTTCAAATATACAACAGTATCGTTAATTATAGTCACCATACTGTATATTACATGCCCATAACTTATAATTGCCCAACCCTTTCCGGGACTCACCTGATTAGGTCAGGCACACTGTGCCATAAAATCAACTGTGCCATATCACATAATATCCCATCATATTCACAGGTCCCTCTCACACTTAAGGGCTGGGGATCATAAAGCATGTGTCGCTGGGGGTGGTTTTAGAATTCTGCCATATATTTTAAAAAATAACTTGAAGAAATTTCAAACATTTACAAAATAGGATAGTAAACGATATACATTATCCAAGTTTAACATAATATTTTTTTCTATTCAATGATATATACATTTTAAGGTAGAATTCCTTTTTATGGATGTTTGAAAGTGATAATTTCAAACAGGTATCAGATTTACTTCTAGCATTTTGTGTAACTCATCACTCTAAACCTGCTGGCTTCAAGTATTTGTCATACTGTCTTCATCAGGTTTATAAGGACATGCAGCTATTTCAGAGTGAATTTTGTTGAATTTATGCAGAGATTTTTACGTATAATGAATATTGGGTACATCCAGATATCAGGTACAGTATTGGTATTTCAAAATGTACAAAGGGCCCTGAGTATGAGGGAATATTTCCCTCCCCATTTACATATTAAGTACCTGCCCGTTGTATGCAGCATGTCGGAATATCGTGCAAAATGCCTTGAGTTCATATCTCACTAGTAAGAGAACTGAAACAACCTGGTATGGGGATAAAGGAACAAAGTGAACAAAGAAGAGGA